TTCAAAATTTTGTGAGCTAAGGCCCAAGTGGTGCATTCCTGTGGGTGGTGCTTGTGGTCTGCATGCAGTTTGTGTTTGCCAGTACCATCAAAATGTAAAGCTCCTTGTACAGAAAATTCCTGGAATTGCTGATTACAAAATCTTATTGAAATTAATGGTTTGTAGCATTGAAAATAGAGATTGTATGCTGCATAGCTGTGTTAAATGTCCTGCTAAAAAGGTTTTGTTAGAATACATTGACACTTTGTTTACAGAAAATGAAATTAGTGAAGTTAACTTTTATCAATGGCAAAAATCAAATTACCAATGTACTTTAGTACCAGCAACTCTACCTTTAGATCCATTTTAGTACCAGCAACTCTACCTGTTGATCATTCTATTCTTCTAAGTAAACTGGAATACTATGGTATTAGAGGAATTTCTCTCCAATGGTTTACCTCATATCTTTATAATAGGTTTCAATTCGTATCTATTAACGGTAACACTTCTTCAGTAAAATGCACTACAGGTGTACCTCAAGGCTCTGTATTAGGACCATTGCTTTTCCTTGTTTTCATTAATGACCTTAATTTATCATTAAAATATACAACTTCCTACCATTTTGCTGATGACACTAACTTACTTTTAATTAACAAATCATTAAAAAAAAATAAACAAATATATTAATCATGATCTATCTAATCTAATTCAATGGCTTCGATCTAACAAACTGTCTCTGAATACTAGTAAAACTGAAATTATCATCTTTAAATCAAAACAATCTAAAATCAGTAAACACCTAAATTTTAGGCTGAGTGGTCAAAAAATCAATCCAGTTATGTACCTAAAGTATCTTGGAATCAAAATTGACTCAAATTTAACTTTTTTTCAACATCTTAAGGAATTGTCAATAAAACTATGTAGATCGAATGGGATGTTAGCTAAAATTCGTCATTATGTCAATCTTTAAACTCTTATCAATATATACCATGCCATTTTTGGATCTTAGGTATGCATGTCAATTTCGGGGACAAATCTGTACCCAAGAAATTTTAAGATTATCCAACTTACAAGACAAAGCATTAAAAATAATATATTTTCAGCATTATCAATCTAACTCCAATCATCTTTATTTTTTATCCATAATACTCAAAATTGATGATCTAGTTTAACTATCAAATTGCCATTTTGTCTTTCATTATAAACAAAAATGTCTACCCAGCACATTTACAAATTTTTTTACTGTTAGAGAAAGCTGTCGCTATCATCTACGATCTGCTAATAGCTATAATCTTCATGTACCAAATCATTCTTCTGTAAAATATGGTCTAAAATCCATAAAATACCAAAGTGTAAAATCATGGAACAGTCTACCTTCGCCATTAAAATCAATTGACTCAATTACTAATTTCAAAAACTGTCTTTTTAACTATTTTTTAGCAAGATATTATACCTGAAGCCTCTGAAATATGTTGTTATGCTTTTATTATTACTACTCTCTTGATACCTACTAGTTTTATTATTAACTTTTTGTTCTCATATTTTTATTGTTATTATTAGTATTGATATTAATAATATTCTTCTATCTTTAATAGTAAATTGTTATTTTTATTTATAACATAATAAGTATTATTATTGCTTTTTTTAATTTTTACTTAAGTTTATTTACTACTTATACTATGTAATTGTTTTTATCACTATTATTGCTATTATCTAATATTGATTGTATATTATCTTTATTATTATTGTTAGTATTGTTACTAATAATATTCCTCTTTATCGTCATCTTATTATTATAGTTAATATTATTTCTATAATTATTATCAATACTATTATTATTGTTATTATGATCACTTTTATTGCAATGTTGCAGGTTTTTACTTTAGATTAGTACTTGTACTATTTGTAAAAGTCCTTGAGATTTTACAACTTATTTCAGAATATATATATTGAATTGAATTGAATTAGATGAATTTATTGAAATGGTTTATGAACAGTTAGATAGTTTACGAGAGCATCATTTTATATCCAAAAGTCAAGCCACCTACTACCAACATTTGAAAACTAATTTAAAAGAAAATCAAGCTTTTGGTTCTTCTTGACTTAGCAGAAAACTATAGTTTTCTAATACAGGATGCAGTGCAAGGTTTTCACTGGAATAACAGTCAAGCAACTGTGCACCCCTTTGTTGCATATTTTAAAAAAGATGGAAAACTTGATAGTCAAAGTTATTGTGTTATATCAGATCATCTGAAACATGGAACAGATGCTGTTCATTGCTTTATCGGTAATGTTATTGATAAACTTAAACAATTACAAACATTTGAACACATTATCTATTTTAGTGATGGAGCTGCATCACAATATAAAAATTACAAAAATCTTATCAACTTATGCTACCATAAACACGATTTTAACATGACTGCAGAGTGGCACTTTTTTGCAACATAGCATGGTAAAAGCCCTTGTGATGGTGTTGGTGGAACAGTGAAACGTCTTGTTGCACGAGCCAGTCTACAATCACTAAATGGTCCTATTGACACACCAAGCAAAATGTACAGCTGGTGTGTTCAACACGTCAAAGGGATATCTTTTTTTTTTGTTGACAAAGTTTTAATAGAAACACATACTACAAACTTCAATTTGGAAGAGAGATATCGTTCTTGTTCTACAATACCTGGAACACGAAACCACCACAGTTTTATCCCAATGTCACTTACCTCAATAAAAATAAGAAGAGTCTGATTTGATATTATTTGCACTAATGTGGATTTTTGTACTTGCAGAATTTTTATTAATAAAATTTCAAGTTACTCACGAGGAGAATATGTAGCCTGCGTTTGCAATGCTCAATGGTATTTAGGAAATATTCTTAGTATTTCAGAAGAGCATCAAGATCTTAATATGAAATTCATGAAAAAGTCTTTATGTAACAAAACTTTTTGTTGGGTACCTCTGATGCATATTTTATGCAAAGTGCAATCTCTTAAAGTCCAGTCAAACAGTGGAAGATTTTATAGTATTGACTTAAACGAAATCAATGAGATTATTTTATTATTTGAGAAACTTTTTGTAAATTTTATTAATTTTGTTTATTTTCTTAAAAACATTTTGTTGGTTTTTCATTTAAAAAATATTGTATTATAAAGAGGGGAGGGGACAGAGGGGAGGGGACTTTATCTATTGGGATTTAAAAGTTCTTTATCTAAAGGGATTATAAGGCTATAAACATTGATATTTTTAAATTGATATTTCATAATAAATAACATTATATAATTCAATGCATTTATTTATTATGTCAATTTCAGAATTTTATGGAAAATTTACCTGACTTTTCGAGACTACCTTTTGGGGTTATAAATAAGCACCCATTAATTTTTTTTGGTTTTTATGAATTAACAGTCTTTAATTGATGCGTATAAAAATTTTTATGAAAAAAAAAAAGTGCCATCTTAGGTAACAGATGCTTTGCATCACAGATCAATTTTACGAAAATCTCGATCTGACTCATTTTGGAGACCTATAACTTTAATCAACTGATTTTTTTAAAAATGTTTATCCACAACATGTAGATTAGCAGGCAATTTGATTTTTATTAATTTTTTAACTAGTTTTTAAGATACAGATCATTAAAATCACAAAAAAAATTATTTTAAAAACAAAAATCTCAACTTTAGACCGCCATTATGGAAAAAGTTAAGATGCCAGAACTGAATTTTTTTTTGTTTCCTAATGTATCCACAGCACACTTGCTAATTAATAATAACTGAAGCATGAAACTAAATTGTTCAAAAGTTGTTGGCTGATAAAAATGACAAAAAAAAAACCTTTTTTCTTGTAGAGTGAAATTTTATGCATAATAGCCTACTACTTAAATAGCGTTTTCTCAAGAACCATATTATATATTGATCTAAAATTTTCAAAACATGCTTTTCACATATATATGTACAAAATTAACAAATTTCAATAAAATCTGAGATGGTCCATAAGGGACCTTTGCACCACTTGGCATGGAATGACCCAACTTAAAAGATTGCAAATTATATAAATCAGGAAAACAAGATGAAGGAAACGAATTCTAAAGAACTAATGTTTGAGCAAAAGAACTAGACAAATAAAAATTTTTGGAGCACTTAGGAACAATTACAGTAAAAGGATGAGACTTAATTTAATGATGAGTTAGACAAGAATGGATTTTAGTAGATAGCACAAGAGACGCTAGCTCTTTAGAGCAGTGCCCGTCATAGTACTTATAAAACTTGTTGAGATATTAGCATAACTTTTTTTGAAATTAGTTTTATGGATTAGCTTTTTTTTTTTATTACTATTACTATTTTAACAAGCATTGGTCGGGTGCCTGCGTGTCAATGTGTCTAAGAATTAAAATAAAAAAGTTTATCGAATGGCGGAAAATATTTTGGGAAGATTATAATAATCAACAACTTTAGAACTAGTTTCATCTTGAAGTTGCTTTATTTCAAGAAATAAAGCAACTCCAAAAAATCATTCACAGAAACTCATATTGAATCATGACAACATTTGTAGCAAGTTGGAATTTTTTTTATTCAATACTGATTGTGGAATAAAAAAATTCCAGCTTGCTACTAATGTTGTATCAGGAGTTAATATTTTAGTAATGTGAATATGTTTGTAGTATTATTTAATATTACTATTATAATAAAAAAATTTTTACTTTTGTTAATAACAAAATCTTTTGTTAATAACAAAATGTCAACAACAATGATTATAACTATTGATTATAATATTATACAAGAAGATATTTATGTTTCAATAATTAAATTGTTTGTTTTTTAAAAACAGTTGCTAAATCCTTACAACAACAACAATAACAACAAAACAGCAGCAACAACAACAACAACAACAACAACAACAACAACAACAACAACAACAACAACAACAACAACAACAACAAACAAAAATTATACAGATAAAATTTTACAACTCTCATGGGACGATATACATAACCGTCTACATGATTTGGAGAATATAACAGTATTTACCTGTCTAGCACGACTCCAGCCAATTTTACTAGCAGATATGGCAGAACTAGCAATCTTAAGAATTGATTCTTTATAATCAGGGGCATTGGAAGCCATTTTTTTTTTTATATACTAGAGATCGACAGACCAATTTGATATCTTATTTGTTTATTAAAATTTAGCAATTCGATGTACCAAGTGGATTGCAAATTTATGCCGGATGTAACTTATTATTACCTTTTCCAACCGGATACCGAACATGTCGAATATTTATTTTATTTTCCGATTTTTAAAAGATGCTCCAAAACCCAGTCGGCATTTGGTCCTAAAAATACGTCTTAAATGTTTAAAAGACGTTCAGAACGTTTTTTGGACGTTCATAAGATGTCTTTTTAGGACCAAATGCCGGCTGGAAAAGACCTAATGGTCTGGTCACAGACCTCCACGGAAGAAGAAGTTCACGCCAAAATTCTTACCAATATTGCATATAGGCCAGATCAACCGGTGGCGAAGAGGTTCAAAACCATAGCTCTTGCCACTGCGCCACGGCTGCTCATTATATGCAATCCGTACATTATTATGTATCCCATACAACGTCAGTTGTGTCATGGAAGTATAAAACTTAGGGGAGTTCATCAAGCGGCAAACATCAGAGCGATTTCAAGTCGTCTTGGAAATATGCTTGTAACCGACAATAAAAAAAAAATCACTAGACAAACAAGCAACTAAAATTCACTGAAATGATTTTTATCAAAACATTAAAAAAAAAGTTATTCTAAGGATATGCTACATAGTTTTAACCATTCATTTAACGTAATGTATATTTAATATACATACAAAAAGCGCACGCCTCACCGTCTTAAGGAGGCGCTTTTTTAAACCTTGGTTGCCCCTTAAATTAAGAAGGCGGTTTGGTTACCCCTTAAATTAAGGGACAACCAAACCGCCTCCTTAAGACGGTTAGACGTGCGCTTTTTTTTTTTAGACAAAAATTTATTAAGAAATGTATTTTTTTTTTTTTTTTGCAGATTAAAAATCTGCATAAAATTTTGGTCTATATTAGTTAAAAAAAAAACTTTTAATTTTCGAAAAATTCAGAGGACAGTTGCCCCTTAAACTCGTAAGTTAAATAGAACCTTTATTTTAAAAGCATATTTAGTTAAAACTTATTTTATTGCTTCGAATCATAACACGACACTTGATTAAAGAGACAACTAAAACAACTTTCAAAAAACCAAAAAATGTTTTCTAAATAACTTATATAATAATTCCATTCATGCTTGTAATTTAATATAAATTACATACATTTTTTATAAAGTTTATTTGTAGTTTTGTTGTCGCCATTTTTAATGAATTTATTGGCGAACCGTCAAAATACTATAATTATAAATTATTATACAAGTATCTATTTGCACCAACGTATCCTTTTAAGTATAGTCTTGATTTCGTTTTCTTTTATTTACAAAAAAAAAGGTTACGAGCATAGTCCCGAAGCTTTTTTAATGTGGTTAAAATTTCGGACGGTATTGTTAAAAAGTCAAATTTCAAGGTTGAATTTTAAATTTTTAAAATTTTCTTTGATTTTAGGGTTAGATTTATTAATTGCAAATATTTTCAATTTGAAATTATATGTTTTTGAATGAAATGTAAGTAATTGTCTGCAGTAGTGTATGAAGATTTTTAAATGTTTGAAATAACCAACTTTTAAACAAAAAGAACATTCGAAATTTTTTTACGTTCGTATGTATGGCGAAAAGATTTAGGGCTTCTTTAAGGATTTTAGGGTTTCTTGTTCCCATTCTCCTGTCGCAGTAATTTTTTTTTTGTGAAGAATCTTTTCGTCATACATACAAAAGTAAAAAAATTTCGAATGTTCTTTTTGTTTAAAAGTTGGTTATTTCAAAATTTAAAAACGTTCCTACGCCACGAATTGCCTGTGATGTAAAAATTTCAATTTAAATCAATTGTTTTAAAAAATAAAATCCAATTATTAAATGCAAGTGCTAATATGTGTTTATTTTTACCTAATAAAAAAAAATATATTTTTACACCTTTTTTTTATTCTATACATATATAATGGAATCCGAATTAGCATGTATTATTACAGCCCTTAAACTAAAAATTACAATCAACAGTCTTGAAACTAAAAAGTACAATAATCAGTCCTGAAACTAAAAGCTAAAAGCAACAGCTCTGAAACTTAAAATTACATTTAACAATCTTAAAACAAAAAACCAAATAGTGACAGTTGGATAAAGAATTATTTATATTGAAAAAAGTATTAGCGTTACGCATTGTTGTTGGATTATTATATAGCCAAACTAACTTAAAATGCTTATGGTGTTTAAAATTTACAAGGATAAGACAACCTATAGGTTTATGAATTAACACAATTCAGTGTGCCAATGCCTCTTTTGTAATTATAATATGTGATACTATACAATCTGCTGCAATTCTACCTTTTAGAGTAGACTGCTTATTAGGCTGATAACTTTATATTTTTCAATTTTTTTTAATGGCTTTAACATTAAGAGAAATAACTTTTTTTTGGGACTATGAAATTATATGAAACTTGATGATTGATTTTAAAAATGTCGACCATAAACTACTTTTTTAAAAACTAGGTAGCTTACTTTTTTTATCACTTAATTCAGTATTTTTCAGTTTTTTTTTCGTTATGCAAAACCTTGCTAAAGTTATTTTTTAATGTGTATTTTTTACAATGTAATCTTTAAAGTTATAAAGAATATTTCACAATTAAACTTTTTTAGGTAGGAATATATAAAATAAACAGTGATTATCATAAACAAAAACAAGAAAACTTGGCAAAGCAATTTAGTTTATTTTGAGAAAGCAAAGATAAAAAGAACAGAGATCAACTAGACAAGCTAATTAAAAGAAAGTAAAGATAAAAAGATCAGAGAACCACTAGACAAGCTAATTAAAACTCCAAATGCACTTGTTGTTTTAGGAAGGTTCGCTTACTTGGCCTCTTTAGAGAAGTCTGTTTTTAAAAGATGCAAGTTAAGTTATTGAAGCATGTCATGGATAAAATTTTTGAAGGCAAAATATTGCCACCAAGTATAAAATATTTTTTTGTTAATGAACTGATACAAAATTATGATGTCTTGGTTAAAAATTTCAAACAGTCAACCTCAATCATCAGCATACCAGCAATGGTATGGCGAGATGACAGTTCTTGTGTGAGCTAGGGCATCTTAACAGATATTATTTGAAAAAAAAAAAATTTTTCCAAAGTTAATTTTAAGGCTCTTTCAAATATTAGTAATGTTAGATCGATTTCAAGAGAAATTATAGCATTACTGGCATGTATTTTATTGCCAGAACATTGGCAGCAACTGCAACCAGCATCCTGTAGTGGGTGAATTTTTTATTATTATTATTGTTTTGAAAAACACATTTATGCAATTTTATTACTGGTGAATGGATGAATATCTGATTTTCCAATCACTATTATAATAGAACAAACTATAAAGTTTTATCAACTGCAATTATCCAGTATGCAAAAAAAAAAAATATTTTTTTAAGACACTGGTGTAATCAATTTGGCTTACTTATATTTATTTGATTCTCTTTATTTAGTTTAAGGATACCAATTTAACAGATTAAAATTTATGGTTTCGTTTAAGCTACTTTGATTTCGATTGAGCAAAAAGTTAAGTAAAGGAGGATAACATTTGTAAAGGCAAAAAAACGATTCTGAGATTCTGCTTCAAAGGTTTCATAAGGTACTCTAAGATCAATAAAAGTGACGGGCGTTCGGGAGATATCCACAATTTTGTCTGTAAGCATTTCTTCAAGAAAATAATACAAAGAATTATGATTTATGAGATCTTTTTTGATTTATAAATTTATGAATTTTACTGTTTATTAAAATGATATATTATAAAGAACATAAACGTTTACATTATTTTTTTAACTACTTATTAGATTTTTTGATCTGCATTAGTTGCAGTTTTACATTTAACAACATTTCATAATATACGAAGTTCATACCATTGATAAAAGCAAGTTTTAAACAGAAATTTTTGTGTTTTTAGTTGCAATCAAATTTAAACCACCGTACATTGAAGAACATTGATGTTTTATATCTCCAAGGCTTCGCGGACTTTTCTTTCAAATTTTTTAGCCTGAACTTTAAGTGTTTCTACTATATTCATTTTCATTTTTACAACGAAAAAATTATTAGAGATATTTCTAATCAAGTTAAAAAAAAAGGTTTAGCAAATAAAAATGAAATCCTTTCTAACTCTAATAACCTTCCTATAATCTCTTTACCATGGATACCAATAATATCTCCCAGGCTTAGAATAATTTTCAGAAAAGCTGGTTACAGAATTGTTTTTAAATCAAATGCAAAATCTAAAAACGTCAAAATTTTTTGATTGAAGGCAAATTAAACCAGTCTGCATTAGCTTTGCATAAAGTAAATTGCAATGAGGACATTGAACGGGATAAAGTAGAAACAGCTAAAGTTGAAGATAAAAAATTTGAAAGAAAAGTCCGTGAAGCCTTCTCAACGCCGTTAATGCATGTTCTGGAAAATACGCGAATTTTGCGTTTTTATAAAAACGCAATGTTTTACTGCATTTTTTTAGCACAAATAAATTTTTTTTTTCCCCATCAGCGCTTTAGTATGTCTAAAATCAAATAAAGTTAATTTTTTTTTAAATTACACAAGTTTAGATATAAAATTTTGCTTAATGGTTGATGTACCATATTTTGGTATAAAATGGCGCTGCTCTCAACGAAGATAAAACGTTTTTCAAACAAGTTACAAGCTATATGTTTAATTTCTAACCAGTCATATGTCTGCGAACATATTAAAGGTCGAAAAAAATTAGTTATTTCAAGTTTAAAATCTGTTTTTTCCATTTTATATGAAAGTTTTTATAAATTTGAGTGTGAAGAACACACAAATTGACATACGACCAGTTAGACTTTTAAAGTTAAACCTCTTAAGGTTTATTTAAAAGTCTAAGTTTAAAATTTGAATATTACTGTGATATAACCCACCCATATTTTATAATGCCATAAAACTATTAAACTAAAATTCCGGTCTTTAAATTACCATAGATTATTGTAAACATGTAAATTAGCGGGAAGAATATAAATTTAGTTAACCAAATTTAGAATACAAGTAAACAACAGATTCATAATTAAATCACTTCAATCTTTTGTTATGTCAGAGTTGTCTATTGTTGATCCTTTAACTTGCGGTTTCGCTAAAGTTGCAGCATAT